CCCTCGTTGAGAATTAACGCTACTATTCCCAAAAGTCAAGCACATTTCGGCGCTTCTTCTAATTAATGCTTACTTGTTTGTATAAAAATGTACATAATTATTATGTAAAAGGATCGAGAACTCATGTTTTCACTCGCCCTCACGAACAAAGACTTAATTAATTAATTCCCCTTAATCAATTTATCAAAATTTATCATTCGCACCAATCCCGCTGTCACACATGCCCATTATATTTAAGCACCAAAAACAGATGAACGATGAGTAAAGTCGTTGCACTCGTATATGCTGCCGAGTAGCCACGAAAAAGGTGTTGATCCTGCATCGGAGATAACAACTTCATTAACAAGGTGAAACATCAAAACAGCCAACCTTCAGCCACTGCCAAAACTTCAAGCACTTAGCGAGAGAACACACAAAAAAGTAAGGTGTTAGCCAAGACATGGATGAATTAAGATGGCAGCGCCGAAATCGAGCGCGGCCACATGTATTGTATGTGTGTGTGTGTGTTTCTGTATACTTTTGCTGATCATACATCATTTAAACGCTATAACACGCGCATTAAGGACATTCATCTAAATGAACACAATTTTTTAACTTTCCTTCCTAAAGAAGTGAATATGAAGAAAAAAGGCGGCAAGGTTTCTTCAACAAAAACAAACCAAAAAGAAGAAAATATCCTTAACAGCGGCACTTAATAAATTCAGTCAGCGAACACAATTGAAAATTTATTCTTGTGGAGCAAACATTTGACGTTTTCACTTTTGGGATTAATGAAGTGAAGCCGAACAAATTTAGAATGTGTGCAGGTGCATTTGAAAATCTAGAAGAGGGTATTTTAAACTTCTTGCGGATCATACATTAAAGTAGTTTAAAAAGACGTTTGGAAAAAACATCTGTCGGCATCATATGTCATTTCTATAATTTATTGAAAATTTATGAAATATTTTGAATGAGCTAAATTAGCTTAGTTACAAACATCATGGCAAACTTAATATAGCCTGTTCAGGGTATAATAAATAGGTTTAAGAAGCCTTACACTTAACAGTTCTAGGAGGAATGTAAGCTGTTTAGAAATCTTTTATACAAAGAAAAGTGTATGAAATATTACGAAAAGACTTTCAATATAAAAGGATTTTGAAATAATAATGCCGGGATTGCAATAATGTTATACCGTATAATGGATGATATCTAAAAAGTTTCTGGTGTCCATAGAAACATTAAAAAAGAAATAAACCTTTATGAAAAGTTAAAACTATTTGCTTTAAAATTTTTTAGCGAAATTCAAATAATATATTCTTTTTCATTAGCTACTTTTTTGTAAACATTTTTTTTTTTTTAATTTAGCCTTTTATACTGCGTAGAATCACTGCCGCTTTCGCCAAGTCCCTCTTGAAAAAAGGGATCGATACATTTTTTATACTTCCGAATTTGTGTTTAATAATGACTGAGAGAATGAAATTATTATTATCGATTCCTCTTTCCATATTACCAGAATAAATTGTCAAAGTTAGTCCTTTACATAGTTTTCTTTAGTTTCTTTAGTTTTCTCTTATCCAGGAGACGAGCAATTCGAATAAAGTATATATAAGAAAGTGATTGACTTCTGATGATATTGAATTTAAATAGAAGATTTCTCTATGGTCTCTGATTTCGATTTGATTAAGTTCTCATGCGATACCAAAGCAGAGAACATGCAAGAATGGTTACAAGTTCTCGGGCCAAAGCCCGTCTATTTCATTTATACTAAAGATTCACATAACATACACCCTGTACTCAATTTTCACTAATAGGTGTCGCTGTAGTCTAGCAAAGACTATAACCAGAGAACGTTAATGATTAGCAGTAGAGAACGTATATCATCAGAGAACGTATATCATATACGTTCTCTGTTTGTAGTTCCAGATGAGGGAACATCGAAAAATATAACTTCGAAAAAGAAAAATACACCACACAATATGCGAAATGCTATAAATAGACACAACGAATATTCCTATATGAAAAATCGTTGCGCATACCTATTTAGATTTATGTTTTCAATTTCTAAGATATGACAAATTTATAATTATGAAAAGCCTTCTGAATTAAAAATCTGTATTACCGGTAAAAACCCCAGAATTCATAATAAAATAAACATTTAATAGGCTAGTTTTCCAACCTATGTATGTATGTGCGTTGAGTGAGTAATTGCTTATTGATCAAAGGATAACAATAAAACGGTGCCTCAACAGCCGTGTTTCCACTTTTGAGGTGGCTGAGGTCGTAAGCGTGAAGGAGTTAAGCTCAATCCAAATACGAGCCTATACGTTCGAGCCCTTAAACTCATAAAACTTAAATTTTCTTTTTCTTTTATTTTATTATTTGACATTATAGCTAATCTCAATTCAGTTACTTAAATAACATATTTTACTCACTGAAATAATTAGAATATTTCAGGAAAATATGGGCAGAGAATGTTAATGAATATTTATATGAATATTCATTGACGTTCTCTGGCGCAAATGTTAGATGTGCTAAAATGTAAACTATTAAAAGAGAACATCGAAAATGCGCAAATTCGAAAGTTCAATTACACCACATCAAAAAGGTCAATCAAACTCAACAAACTACACCACTCTAAGCAGAAACCAAGTAAATTGTCCCCACCTTATAAAGGAACGACTAATATATGTATGCGCAGATGTTCTTTGGCATGCGTGTTAAGGAAAATTAGAATAACCAAAAGAAATAATAAAGATCTTGAAGAACATTAATATAATAAGGGAAGAATTAAGATCAAATTAAGGTAAATTTATAAAAAGCTAGAAAAAACGTACCCTTCACAGACAAAAAGGTACCTTACAAGAACTTGATTCCGGTCTAATTTCGTGAAGATACCTCGTCAAATAAAAAAGTTGTCCATGCATGCACTTTGCTCCTTGATGAGAAAAGGACAGGTGCAAAATTTGTATGTATACATATGTATGTATGTCCCTCATTATGCCTTTTTAAATTATAAGGACTTTCCCGTTACAATTAAAAGCTCATACTTGGAAAGATTTTCGAAGAGGTGTCTAAGAACCAATTTTTCAGAGTACCAGGCGAAAATATATATTTGCTCTTTTTTTTACCCGCCCTATATACGTGTGTAGTAGAGATCGTTGTCTGATTTCGTGCATTTACCATTTCTGAGTAGAAATGTTCAAAGTCTTAAATCATGTAACATAGTTATGTATGTACATATGTATATGTATATATCGCGGAGATTAATTATGCATATTTATATTAATATATGCATATTTACTTCTTTATCTCGATTTCGCTGGTCGGCTGAAAGCGGAGGTCGAAATAATGTCTCACCCCAAAAATCCACACTTGTCTCTCTAATTTAACAATATTCTATCTTAAGTCCTAGTCAATCCTTGATCGACTGGAAATCTCAGTAAACTATATGGTCACTTTTAATAGAAGAAGATACAGGTATATACATTCATATTATTATTGTTATATAAATTCAATACACAACCTAGCTCTACGATTAATTGAACAATTTTGTCAAATTGGGACTACTAGGGAACCTTACTTAAGCTCAATTTATGATGGCTTTCCATTTAAAACTAACCAATATTTATCTCAACATAAGTACATTTTATTGTTATTGTGAAATATTACATTTTTATTGTGAAATATTTAGTACAGAATGTTATTACAAATTTAATACTGTGTTCTTTATTGTCCACATTTGCAGCCACTGCCGCAACCACAACTGCCGCTCTGAGTTTGCGAACCACACTTGCAACCTAAAACCACACAAAATAGACATCGAACCATTTTTTAATTACAACAAACACAAATATGTATGTATGTATTTTTAAAGAAAAACACTTGACTTCATTTTTCAAACCAACTGGAAACTGAAACTCACCGCTTCCGCATGGACAGCACTTGCACGCCGCGCCGCAGCCACAATTACCGCTCTTAGGCTGAGTGCCACATTGACATCCTGCCAATAAAAAATAATTATTAACTAAAACGTGCAATTTTCAGACAAAATGTTTTTTTTACATAAAAAGTGCCTTAAAGGACTATTAAGGGGCCTAACATGTATGAATTAATATATTTTAGACTGAGTACACTTACCGGTTCCAATGGGCAAGGCATGTTTGCTTCTTTCTTATTTGTTGAAATTAGAAATTTGAGAATGTTTTTATTGTTATTGTAGGTTTAACACTTTGAAAGCAGACGTTATAACCTCAGATGAAGACTGTTGTTGTGGTTAACTAATGTTTCTATTATATAGTCTAAAGTAAAGATTATTGTCTAACAGTCACATATTAAATACATATGTATGTACATACCTATATATTTTGTTGGTGTTGCGCGCATTGGTTAAGAGCTATGAAAATTCTTGGTGCCGTGTGCAAAAGATTTTTGAGGCCTCTTCGCTTGACCCAAAGTGTGCCCTTTTACGATCTTTACAAACATATATCATAGATATGCAATTGTTCATATGTATTTGTGTTATTGCCACTTTAAGTGAACTGACCCAGTAGGAACTATATAACTGATGGGGAACAAGCCAAGTTGACTTTATTTCAGAACACAGAATATTAGTAATGAAAGTGACATATGTAAACCATATGAAATATTAAATTAAGAAACATAATCTAAAAATCTTAATCTATATTAACATGCTTGTATACCCAAAATTTACTATAAATTGTTTATAAAAATATTCAATATTAACAAAGTCGTACTCAATTTACTGTAAACTACAATTTAAATTTCAAGAGCATACGTTCTATAGTCTCCGAATACCTTCGTTGTCATATTTTCATTCAAGAAAGACGCGTTTCACATTTTAGGTGCTGAAGCTGTTAGTATTCAATTTACAATAATAATTAATCTATATATTTATAACACATCATATTACAAGTTAAATTAATTGCAAAAAATTCCTACTGGGAACCCATACATACAATGTTCAATTGATACAATTACGCTCGCACTTGTGCACACCACCCAGCCAAACCAAAAGCTTCATACCCGTAATCCATCCACATACACATACAGTTAGGTATGAACTAATGTACATACATACATACGTACATACCCCCCACTGTAGGCGAACATAGTGCGCACCGCACTTCAGCTACAGACTTCGGGCCAGATTTTGCACACGGCACCTCGCAACTCCTACAGACGAGCCCCGATTCGAGAGTTTTGATGTGTATAAAACCGAGAGGAGCAACAACGAGTCGATCAGTGTAACAACATTTGGCGTTTACAAAGCTAAACTTGAGTGATTAACAAAATAGAGTGACTAGCTGATATTAGCTAAAAGATTCAAATTTTTTTTCAAGTGTAGAAAAAGTATAAACAAATTAAAACAACAAGAATGCCTTGCCCATGTGGAAGCGGTAAGTGAACATTAAAACAGATAACGCTTTAATTATTGCAACTTTTTCATTTCACATTTTCTAATTTGCTTTTCAACAACATTTTTGTTTATTATTTGCTTTTTAACGCGCTTTCTTTTACATTAGGATGCAAATGCGGTTCGGAGCCTAAGACTGGCAACTGCGGTTGCGGTTCGGCGTGCAAGTGTTGTCCCTGTGGAAGCGGTAAGTGACCCATTTACATATGGTACATACATTTGTGTATGTAGCATTTTGGAAAAGATCATAAATCAATTAAATGAGAAATTTTTTATAATGTAAATATAATTCTTTTACTTTTAGCTTGCAAATGCGGTTCACAATCGCAAAGTGGCAGCTGCGGTTGCGGTTCGAGCTGTAAATGCGGCCAATAGAGCAATCCATATATCTCATAAGATTCACTGAAATAGGCGTTTTATGTTTAAGTCATATATGTACATACATACATACATAAGTATTATTAATTTAGTTACATAAGTTAATAGCGTAATAATATACATACTTTCATAGAATCAGAAACAGTTGTTTATAAATACATTAATGCAAAGCTTGTGGGATTGATACCAAAAATGCTATCACATTTCTCATCAATAAATAACAAAAAGAAAAAAATTCCTCAAATTCTTCTCTCTTTCTATTTTTCTACACGAACTATGGTTTCGGTAGTAGTCGGGCAATGAGAGTCGATATTAGGGCGTGCGCTAATACAAATGATGACAGAGGTAAGCATACATACATATGTATGTATGTGTTGTCACATACATATGTACATGTATACAAATAGACTTTATTTAAGTTTGGAATTGAATTACAAAACCCCTTATGCCGTTATCAAGATTGATATTATCAATATTAATAATTTACTTCCAGAAATACTTGAAGTTGGTGAAAAATATCAACAGCAAAGCTGTAAATAGTATGGACTTCGTCACCAATCCTAGTACCTGTTGTACTGATTAATTATACCCCAGACAATGTTCCCTGCTGTAGACAGTTAACATATATTATGCTTCTCAAAGAGAATATTCTAGTAGCCTAGCAAAGAAGCTCCAAGAAGCTGCTCATTTGCCTGAGCGCCGATATTAGACCACCATACCATATTTTTCCATACAAACTGATCGATCAAATTCCAGTCCTTGTATGCAAAACTTTGATATTTGACTAAATATCACGAAATTTGGCGCAGATTATTTTCCGGTACAATCTCCGAAGAAATTCGTGTTCGGATCGGATCAGTATAGCATATAACCATACAAACTGACCGATCAAAATAAGGTTCTCTTGAAGTCACGAGGATATAAAAAATCATTATGGCCGAGATCCGGATAATACCGTAGACACGTAGTCAATGTGAAGTCCAATTCACGCAATTTCACCATATGAACGATAGTGAGCATACATCCACCTTGCACAGAACTTTCGCATATCTAAATTTTCATGAACAATATGTGCCACACGTTCGTTTAATATTTTTGGAGTGTCAGCTATCTCAATCAATCGAGATTTACGGTCATCCAAAAACATTTTATGGATACAAGTATTTTGATATTTTCGTCTAGTGCCTATTTCGACAGCCCCTGTTTATTATTTTAGGCCCTCGTATAGCATGTACGAATGGTTGTTACGTGAAAGTAAGAAAGAAAGTAATGTGTCTTCTGAAGACATATTAGGTCTAACTACATAACATTGAATGATCATCATGTCATTGCTCGAACAGATCATAACTGGCGATCATTCATGAGAATATAGTTTTCAACTTTCAAGTTATGACAGACGAGGATCGCCGAATTAAGGCTATACCGAACAAAGAAGTGTTTAGGAGATTTGATTTATTTTATCTGAAGGATTTTACTTTTAACTTATAATTTAATCAATAATTGATGATAAAAATGAAAGGTCAACTAAGCTTTTAATCTCGTCTCCTACAAACGGAAACATACCGGTATTTCATAAATTTTATGTTCCGAGATTTAACTATACTATAAAAATATATAAGGTCGTGTCGAGCTCGTTACTTTTCAATTAAAGCTATGTTTTTAGAACTAGCTAACCTTTGATTTACATTATTTTTGGTTTTCCGGTTTTGACCATTTCTATCCAAATCTACACGCACTTCTCGTATAAAAATATTCCAAGCGCTAGCTGGGTTTATACAAGTATCTTCTAATGCAGAAAAAATTACTTAAGAATAAATACCCATTTGTTTATTAGACTATAAATAAACAAAGTACTACACACTATAGGCAAAATTTTAGCATTGACTATAACAACTCGAATCAGTACACGATTATTTGTCAAGTGAGTTGGTCAGGATAAAAAATTAAGTAACGCCAAGTTTTACTTTAAGAAAAAATAAAAAAATGAGCTGTCCTTGTGGAAGTGGTAAGTATGTACATACTTGTATGTATGTATTTTGGGTCAATTGAAGAATAATATAAATCTATACGAAATAGTTAACATTTCCTAGTATATTAAGTGCTTAGGTCAAATCTCATAATCAATTAATTTACAGGTTGCAAATGTACCTCACAATCCCAGAGTGGACGCTGTGCTTGCGGACCGTCATGCAAATGTGCCACGAACAAAAAGTAATTTATATACAACTAAAATAAAAGAGAAATAAAATACGAATCATGGCAGACAAACAGTAATATTCTGCATCACATAAATGGTTTATTTACAAATATACACGATATCAACTTTGTCAATTTATCTTTACATAAACAAAATGCGATGAAAATAAACTTCGTTGACCTCTAAGGAAACAAATGTGAGCATGTTTAATTGAAGAGAACTCTTTCAATTTAACCTCAGCGTATGTATGTACATATACTAATATATTTTGTATATGGTTATATTTACATACAAGTATGTGCATTGTTGAAGTGCATTTTATGTCTATTGCTCTCGTGATTTTAAATGTTGCTAGTCTTGAGGCAACGAAGGGTATTCGTTATCATAGAGAACTGCTCAGTAAGTTTTTATATATATTTGATTGTACATATGTATACATATATGTATTTTAGTTTCTACGGTCATGTAGAATATTCTATTTGAGCTTTTTTACATAAATACATATGTAGAAGAGTGATTAATGCAACGATTGCTAAACTTATTTAAACAAATCTCAAAAAAATCGTATATCTCTTAATAAAGTGACATTTTCTTGTACATCTTACATATTCCATACATACGTGTATGTATGTATGTACTTACATACATGTAGATATAGGCATATATATGTATACCTGAGTGATAGTACGACACAAATCGATGACATGATCTACGACATATAGTACTATATTAAGCTCTATTGAAGAGAGAATGCTTACCAAAAGACAGGTGTCTTCAAACGTGTGCAAATGTTTTAGCAAACGTTGTAATTAAAAATATATATGAAATGGTACTGCATAAATTTATGAAACTCCGAACGAGCTACATTTTTGTTGTTAATTTTTAAATAATCTTACCTTTTTTCAGAAAAAAAGAAACGTGTAGGTAAAATAGAACCGCTAGGCAACACTGGAGTCGAATTACTTTTAAATATAAACAGGTCAACTGATATCGATCAATTATGACTATAAGTCAATGTATATAATAGAGTTCCACGTACTCCGCTGGACCAAATGTTTAAATTAATTTAGAATGTACTCGTAAGATTCTAGATATTAAATGTAGACGATCCATCATAGATGGATCCACCTTTTTCAACTTCGAACCATTGGGTTCGGCGTATCATCAGAATTATATTGTCCGAATGAAGTATTTTTATAAAACTACTGAATTTAAGGAGCAAACCTAGTGTAACAGCGTAAAAAAATACGATTTTTATATACAGAACAGGTAGAAAAAATTCGATAAAAAATCTCACCTCATCATTTGTCTCCGAGTAATCACTCAAGCAATCAAAATAGATGGAGCTTATTGAACTAAGCGGTGTAGCCATTGTAACTCAAAAACTATTTGAGATATCGATTTCAAACTTTAATGTGTTATTTTTGTAATCACATTCACAACATCGCAGTATAATTGGCAATTAATGAAAATTCAAAGAAAAATTAGTTTTTTTCAAAATAACATGTTGTACCATACTAAGCTATAAAAAATAACAGCTGTATTTCAAAACGTTAGCAAATTATTTTTTCCAATATAGCTGCTATAAGTCAAAATCAATGCGTCATTTGGGTACATGTGTTTAAGAAACGCTGACTCAACGAGGCGAAATACCTGATTTTGAGAGCATATATTAATTAACTGTGACGTTACGAACCCATAAGCCACAGACTACTCAGTTGCCATCAGACAAGTACATATGTATGTTCGTACATAGTCAATTGTCACTTTGCACACTGCACTACAGAGTTACCAAATGCCAAGACGTGAAAGACGAAGTGGAAACTGTCTCGAATCAACCAGAAAGAAGAGTAAGTTCTGAGAAGGCAGAAAACGAGCTTCTATAAAAGCATAACACAACCGGCTTTGGTGAACAGTGAGCGAACGTTTGCATTAGACAAAGTACAAAGCGTTTATTTATCACAATTCAGTGCTGAAAAGTGTTTATCCAATAACAAAAAAATATAAAATATAGTGAAAATGCCGTGCCCCTGTGGAACTGGTGAGTGGCATATACATAGAGGAAAATTTATAAACAAATAATATTTTTAATATTTATTTTTATTTTTTTCTTCGATTTAGGTTGTAAATGTGGCACTCAAGGCCAAGGCAATTGTGGTTGTGGCAGCGGATCCTGCCAATGCGGCAGTGGCAAAGGTTGCTGCGGCAAATAAAATGGTGTGGCAGTATTGAGTGCAATTTGCATTATCTAGCGCTGTGTGGAAAAACCATGAATTATTGAATCCATATCCATTTATTAAACATTTAAACGAAATTTATTTAGTATTAAATTCACCACATCATTTAGAAGCGTAAATTATATTATAGATTACACATTAGATATTTAAATTATGAATGCGTATGCAGAGCATATTTGGCTCCAATAAATGTTTATTTTGAAATTTTGGATTTTTGCTAAGGAAATATGTTTTCATAGCGAAAAATAGACTGCGAAAAAATGTGTTAATTGGTGGCTGAAGGAGTAAATTTTCACTTCCTTTCTATATAACTGTTGAAAGTCACTTTTTAACATAAACAAATGGAAAGCATTATATTGTTAATTAAAAATTCTACCGCTTATCACTCGTTTCAAAGGAAGCTTTACCCTTATATACACATGTACGTCTGCAGACAGCTGTAGCACTTTATATTGCACCGTATCAGAAGATTCCGTCGGTTCCAATCCCCACAACAGCCGGTTCTACGTTACCGGGTTTGACCTGGATTTTATCCGGCCAAGGGCTGTTATTTCGGCGATCTAACCCTGTTAGGATCGGTGAGTTTTAGTTTTAGTTTTATTCCATCGGTTTAATCCCATAAGTTAAATATTTGACTCACCAGAAAAATTGAGATTCTGTGCGACATATGTATAAGCTTCTTGAACTGATAAAAGCACAGAGAACAAGCGAACGGTAACAGAGAAGGATAATCTTAAATTATGCTAACAACTTTTGAAACAGATCAAGTATATTTATCATGAACCATATTAAAACCAACCCTTAATGCAGTATTCGACTGTGGAGGAGGTGTGTGAAGCTTTGAAGACTTGGTCATCGTAAAAAAGTAGATATGTACATACAAAAACTGAATTTTGCTTGAAGCCTAGATCGTCAAAATCCAATCAAAGCAAAACTTACTTACATATATTTGCATGCGTTTCTTGTGGCAACTGCTTTTGTAGGGCAAATATAACAATATTGAGTGTCTTCTGCATTAATTGAGTAATTTTAACAAAACGTTAGCCTCACCGCCCGATGGCGTTTTTATCGCCTTTCGTGTAATATTTTGTTGTAGACGAAAACTGTCAACCCAATCGGACTCGTATTTTCATTCTGACCATTTCCGCGCGCTTTAGAGCAATGTCTTGTTTTGGCAAGCGAAATCGCAATATGAAATCAAATAACTTTTGGATGCTGTATACGGTGACTATACTCCTACTATGGCGACTGTCAAAAACTAATTGCAGGAATTTCAACGTGATCGTTACGTCGGTTTTTTACATCGCCATGTGCTGGGCATTTCGTTGCCCGAAAACGGCTACCACGGAGAAAGAGTGACAAAAATCCACGATCTCGCATTGGCATACGACCGAACAACAGACGCAACCGTAAGACCTCTTCAAATCGGTTTTTGAGGAGTTTCTGCGTCGTTTCGTGACCGTCGACGAAACATAGCAAACCAGTAGATCCAAAAAACAGCCCAAATAGTGGACTTAAACCGAAAAACCTGCTCCAAAGAAAGCTAAGACTCAAAGGTGATATACACTTTTTTCTGGGATTCAAATGGTCACAGAGCTCTAATATTCCGAATTAATAATTAATCGGATTAGACTATGATTAGCTGAAAAAATTAGCTTATTTGGTGTAAAAACAATGAAAAAAAAAATGTTCTTCCACATGACAACGCACCAGGTGATACCTCCATCATCACCACGGTCAAATTAGTCAAATAAAGCAGGACAACTTTGCTGAAACCCAAAAAACGTATTTTACTTAGACGGTTTAAAGAAGTTGAGCATCACTGGGTCGGAACTAATCGGATCGCCTACATGTTCGTACTTATTAAAAATAGATTGGTCACAATTAGACATAGATTTTAATTAACTAACGCTTCGAATGCAAAATGTGACGGGCAATAATAAAGTTTTAAATAATCTACGACTTTTTTTTTGTGACAAACCGATATTCATAACTTTTAAGTTTTGGAGTGAGTCCCGGGTTGCAGTGAAATTTTAAGATTTTCGATTGTTTTGAAAATTTTAAACTCCATTTTTTGACGCTGTAAGACATAATTTCTGCTGCCATAGAAACATTACGTCTTAATAGTCGTAAGCGATTTTGGAAATACATATGTATATGTGTATGTATGTATTCTGTTTATGAATAGGATACAGACAGTCTTAAATTTACACGAAAAGCATGTGTTGCAAAATTATGACTATAGTGTTTGTGTATTTTGAACCAGCTCGGTAGGTATACCTATTTTCGAGTTCTATTTGCAGATTAGTTTAATTCTAAATTTGATTAAGATAGAATATCATATATAATGTGGTTTTCATTTATTACAAAAAATTTTAATATCACCAAACTTTACAACAACAACATCAGCATGGAATAAATGTGTTCCTCTATGTATCATCTAGCATATATAATACAATACAACAAGTAATTATAAATATGGAAATGTAATCACGCCTTTCTTATTATATTGGATTTATGTACTTATATGATATTTACATGTAAGTGTGTTTGTATGTGTATTTACACTTGACCGCGAATAATGTACATATGTATGTATATAACAAATGTATCCTTTGAAAACTTTTCCGCTAAATTTAAGCAAACAATAATAAATAAGAACAACCCTAATACACTCCGCGTCACTTAATAACAATATTTTGGGCCAGCCGCTTAACGAAATCCACGTTCAGAAAATTGGCCATCCAAGTAAGAAGAGATTTTTTGGGCGGACGACAGTGTCGCAAACCCGCCTCTTGACAACAAACATTCGGAAAGCAGTCCAAAGTTGAAACGCACGTCTTTGGATGTAAATCGAAGATGGGTGGCGGCGCTGGTGTGCACTCGATATACTCGGACACTATATAGAGAAGAGTGAAAAATGTATTATAGCAAATGTATTTGTTTCACTGAAAGTCTTACGATAATTGAAGGAGCGCTTCACCGGCACCGGTACTGTCTCCAGCTCCGGTTGGGAGGTCCTGCAGTAGCGTTTATTTCCATCAGGACAACAAACTCTTGGCCAACAGTCCGTGTCGGTTTCACATTCCTGTACCTGCCACCAAAGCTCGGCTAGTGGGCGGGTCGGACATTTGCGCGGAATCAATCCTAATATGGCTGTATAAAATATTTTGCTCGAAATTAGAATTTATAGTACTGAACTTCAAATTATCGCATATAATTATTCAACTTTATTACTTACGTGTGTGTGAAGTTTCTTCAAGCGGTTTCGATATGCCCGAGACACAACTTTTTGCGCCAAATATTTCACAACACAATTCATCGCGGTTCCAGACGGCGCAATCTTTGTCGACTTTACAAATTTTCGGAAATAACTGAAAGCGCACCTCGCTCTCGCGTGGACAATCGAATAGATTACGCAGATTTTGCACTGTATTGCGTTTATCCTTCTCACCAACCGCTTCCGGAGACCTTTGAGCTTGATTGCCGAAAAAGTTAAATGTTGGCAAAGCTATACGAAATGGTCCATCGGTGGTGCTTTTTTTAGGTGGGACTGCGGTTGTCGAAATTTGATTAGAAGCCAACGGTGTCAACGTGATCGGTTTTTCTTTTAGAAGTGTGCTTTTCTTGTCTTTAATTGGTGCTATTGTAGTTGTTGCTGGTGGCGGTGTATATTTTTTGGGTGGCTTTTTTGTTGACGATGTTTTCGGTGGACTAGAGAGAGCCCAAAGAGAGGGAGAAAAAAAACTAAAAGGATTACTTAGTGGGTTGTTGGCAACAACTGGAGCGCGAACTGTAACGGAAATAAAAAAAAAGTTATATTTTATATGAGTAGAACTAACATAGATAAGATTAACAAGTGAGAAAGATTAGATTAACAAAAGTTCGACATATGTATAGCGTGTTACATATCAAAACGATCGAGACAAGTCGTTTTCCGGATGTCTGTATGACCATCAACTTCTTGTTTAAATCTTGTATTGGCAACGCCGAGAGAAGATGTGCAAGCTATTTCGCTATATTAGAAATTTTAAAAATCGCTGGAACCATATATTTTATAAAATAGTACGCATGATAAAACTGTCTTTTCGAAGGGCGCACTGTTTCCTCACTTCGGATAAAAAGCACAACTATGAGACCGTTTCGTTTCACGACCGTCAAGTAAATATGAATCAACTGATATACATGAGAGACCACGAAACAGTCAAGCAGTGGATTTCACTGGGCGAACATGCTAAGAAGAAAACGAATACTGCTCTATCGTCCAAAAGCCGGATGGCGACCATTTTCTAGGGTTCATAAAACGTGATCTATGTACATCGACTACCCAGAGAAGGGTGAAAAAGTCACTCGGCTTGATTCGACGCCGAATCGCAGAGCAAACGGCCGGCATTCGGCGTAGAAAAGGTGGCTCACATCAGCATAGTTCCCACTGCTAAATGAACTGCTATCCCATTAACCGTATTCTCCAGATTTCTAATTTATTTTATCTTTATTCTTCTTTTTGGTTTGAAGCTTGAAAAAGTCAAACATCAGATATAAATTTATGTAAAATGATAATCCACTCATCCGCGGTCACGAAGACCTATTTTGAACACCTCCAAAAAATCGGATGTTAAAGTAGTTGGAGAATCGGTGAGTCAAGTGCATCGAGTTATAAGAAGACGATGTTGAGATATAAATCGCCATTTTTCAGATTTTTTCATTTTTTTTTTGTAGGATAAGTACTTATTAGACCGATCTCATATATTTACTACCATAAGTCTGATAAACATTGGACTGCTCTCTAATAAGCAAATAGTTTAGCGCTCTTTACACGACTGTACATACATATAAACCCATACAGATGCATATGTATGGTATACGATCCACTTAAATTTATGACTCTTAAAGACCATAATTAAGTAATTAGTGCAAATGCGTTGCAATTTAATGAGCAAATGTCAAGTTCAATAGCATAACTATCATTGGTATATATTGTACAATATATAAATGTAGCATTGTTACACATATGTACATAATTATATATAATATGTACAATACATATGCAACACACTTTGTTATATCCAATTTATGGGCTGGCAAATTTTTTCGCGCCGCGAAAAATAGTTGCTACGAGCACTTATAAATTTATCTAAAACCCGATATTTAATTGATTTTGCTCTAAGCATTTTGTTGCGAAGAACAGAGACAATGCAAGTAAATACGGAATTATTTACATAATTATTATACATTAAATAAAACTGTTCAAGGTTATTCACAATAAAATTGTATGAAATACTTTCTGAATTTTGGAACACAAGTAAGGAAAAGAGCAAGTAAGGAAGGGTTATGTTCGGGTGAGCGCTATAATAGTTTATATACCGATTTCACCCATTTTTGACATCAAATTACTATTGTTCAGATCGTTTATACATTGCTTACTTTGCCTGGAGCAGCTGCTAAGGTTCGACGTGTTTTTATGACCTTACCGATTTACGTTTGTTAAAAGAAATGGATCAAAATTTGCGTAAAAATATTACCAAAGTCCTATGGTGACTCTGTTACGAGTAAAAAAAGAGTTTACGAGTGGTATAAGCGTTTCCAAGACGAGCAGCCCGGACGTCCCAGCATATCAACAGCCGCTGAAAACGTGAAAAAGTGAAAGTAGTGATTATGAAAGATCGCCGAATCACAAGCAGAGAAGCCGTTGAATGATGTTGGCATATCGATTGGCTCATGCCATGAAAATCTTTCAAATGTTTTGGGTATGAAACGTGTCGGAACAAAAGTTGTTCCAAAATTGCTGAATTTTGAACAAAAATAGCCACGAATAGAAGTTGTTCAGAAATCACTAAATCAAGTCAACGACAACGCCGGTAAGTGTTTACACGATTGGAAGAAGCGCTGGCATAAGTGTATAATATCGAAAGGGGACTATTTTGAAGGCGATAACATTAATATAGACAAATAAATAAATATTAAAAAATAAACGAAAATTCCGTTATGTTTTGAATACACCTCGTTTAAAGTTCTATATCTATCTCGTCTAGTTTTAGATGTTACAAACAATTGTTGCTCTCTCTTATATTCTGTCGAACTCATTGGAACAATAGGATGAGCAACAACAAAAACTAATAGGGGAAAATATTCAAACTATAATTAAAAACTTTTAATATTTAACAAAAAAACGCTGCATTTAAATAAAACAAAATAGTAAAAACATATCTTTTCAAACATAGATTTGTCAAAAGAAAAAGTTCTTATATTTTTGTTTTTGATTTTCTGTTCACTGTTTCGGCTCAATATTTGTCAGAAAGTCCGATAATATCTCTAGCAGCTCAAAAAATAATAAAGATATTTTTTATGATAACATACTGATACCTTTTAAACAATTAATGCCAAGTTGTGTTTTCCTTAATGTCATTTTGTTTACATCAACTTGGTTCTGGTCTTTTTTCGTAGCATTAACGATTTGTTTTTCACTTATCAAAGCCTTTAAATATAAATACGAATTTTTGAATTTAACAAATTCCGCCTGTGGTCGAATTTTTAGAAAGTTTTATGCTCAACAAGAATCCGTGATGTAAAATACGTTATCCGAAGAGATTCAATAGTTATTGTATTTTTGATAAAAACCAATTTTTTTCGTGTTATTTATACCTGTATAGAAAAAATTAAATGCCCATTGACACCTCTTAATTTGAAGCTAGAAATCCTGCCTTGCATATTTCAAGGATATTTTTTTCTCATATTTTGATTCATTTTAGCTTATAAATATGATAATACTTTTTTTTGGCTGAACTTATTGGGACATATATTTAAGAAATTAACGTTGCTTTCATTTTGGCTCATCGGATTGTTCTTTATCAAAATTATTTATCTTCGCACATCTTCATACATATGGTATATACAAAGACACTTCTCAAGCCATTTATACTTGTACCGTCCATCTGTTCTGTGTTCAAAACAATAATACTTTATGCAACATTTTGAGCTCGGGTCTAAAAACAATTGAGAAGAAGTAAAAATACTCCATAAATGATATTCATATACTCTACTCGTACATACATATGTACATATGTATTATATATATATACTCTACTCGTACATACATATGTATATATGTAAGAATGAGGCTAACTTTTTATGTCTAAGCAACATCATAACGCCTTGAGGTACGCCACGGCGTATTACTGAAATATTTATACATAGTTGCAAATAGGCGTTTGAAATAATTTTTATTACTTTTAACGATTTGTACCAATTATTGAGTTATGTATGGTAAATTTCGAGTTTCCAAACAACAATTTCCAACACTTTTCGAAACTGCTACAATATAATCCACTCACTTTTTGAACCACTTTTGGCAGCAAACAAAAGAGCTTTTCGCTGCATAAAAAATAAATAGCAAACTTCACGTTCTGTTTAACAACGGCGTGTTTGTGAATTTCATTTGTGAAGAGGAAAACTATAGCGAAAGGCATTGCATATAATGGCAAACGGGATGTGCAGGCATATATTTGTTTACATATACATATACATACATATGTATGTTTCTGTATATAATAGCACGAGTTTTGAAAGTGGGCAGATAATTTAATTACACACAATTGGGGCACATGCACAGGCGCATTAAACAATTTTACATGCAATTTTAAATGCTCGTAAAACAACGGTAAGTTAGCTTGGGTGCAGTGTCGTTGCAATATAATTGTAATGTAATATACATATGTATGTACATATTATATATACATATACATACATATACGTATGTATGTATATATACACTTTATATTACTAGTGATAGCAATATAAAGATCAAAACAGCAATTGTGGCAAACAATAATGGATAATGGAGCTCGCACCGCTGCGCATGCGCAATGGACATTGCTTTCAAACATGCTGTGAAACGAAAACAACAAACGCGTATGCGCATTTATCGTTTTACCAAAGCGGCGCAAAGCATTTACCTCACCAAAACAGTTCAGTGCAATCATGCCCATGCGCAGCACAAGTCACATCAATACACACACACACACACACATGGATACATTGCCATAGACAATTCCAAATGCTTAATACAAGTGCTTTGGTAAAGAAACAAGAGCAGTGAAAAGGAAAAAAAAACTAACTGAATCAAACAAACTTAAATCTTTAATACCAAATGTAGCATTTCAGCTAGGTCAGTGTCAGTCGCCGGTGTGTGCGTTTGTACGCTCGTTTAGCGAATGCAGGCCAACCTTAGCTCACACGGTAACTTGTCACAGCTCAAACACACATATGTATCCAAGTAAATATATATGTACATAAATGCATATACATACATATGTACATATATACCGCAGCTTAATGGCCGTCACAGCGCTGTGCAGCGGCTGCATTCAAGGCGCAAGCGCTGAACAAATAGCGCAGATTTCAACGCATAATGCTGTTTTGTCTTGAATTTTGCGTTTCTTCACTTTGCACTTCAGTGGGCGGTGCAATTGTTGAACTATGTCAATGCATTATTAGCCTCGCAGTGTGAATATTACCAAGCATTCTATACTACGTTTAAGTAAATATGTATGTAAATATGTATAAGAGCTGAGTTCAACGCTTTGTTCTTTTAGTTCAATGCAAGTTTTGCCTTTAGGTGGCTTAGTCCATTATAAGTTTTCGTATCTGCATTTTTGTTTATTACTTAGAGAACCTGTTCTGCGTGAAATTATCTTGATGCAAAATAGTGAAGTATTGTGTGTCAATAATGCAAAATGCTTAAGAAAACATTATATTAGAAGTATTACTTAGCTGGGTTATCTAACGGCGTTTAAAGTATATCCTGACAAAATACAAAGTTATTCCATATACTAATTTAAAGCTAGCCTATGTCATCTTTATTAGTTATTTAGAGACTAGTATAAATATGCCTTACTTTTCACTGAGTGATTACCGTTATCAGAAGTTATTAATGCATACTAATCACTTGCAAAGTAAATTTTTATCTTGGACAATGAGTGTGGACTAAGTTGAGAAGTCCGAAAAGTTACTACATACAACTCAAGAATGGTAGAATTAGAGACTTCGACAATATCTGATTACGGGATACTGAAAAATAAATTGGTTATTTTCTTCATAAGCAAAATGTTGCACCTCAGCTAGAATACCTTTCACAAATACAAAAGATTTCTCATAAAAACTTCATTTTGATCGGTCAGTTTGTATAGCAGTTATATGCTATAGCAATCCGATCATTGCCTTAGATCAGCCATGGCAAATTTCGTGAAGATATTTCGTCTATTGAAAAAGTTGTCCATACAAGCACTTCATTACATTCAAACGACAGCTTCTTGGGAAGAAAATGATGTGTGCAAAATTTCAGATCGATATCTCAAAAACTGAGGAACTATTTCGCGCATAAACAGACAGACGGACATGGCTAAATAGACTCCGCTCGTCATGCTGATCAGTTATATACATATATACTTTATAGGGTCTCCGACGTTGCCTTCTGGATATTACAAACTTCATTGCAAACTTTATATAACCTGTACACTTTAAGTTATTGGTACAAATATTTGTCCATGGAAAAACAGATGAAATTTTCAGAATCCAAACCGAAAATTGATGTCCGACAAAGTCTGTCGGAAATCACCAGACAGTATCCTATACCTTTAGATGCACCACACTGAACGCAGTGTGTTAATTTTACCAACGGACAAATAAAGTGAAACGTAATTTATAAATAGCAATATACATGGATATATTATTGTCTCTATCATTTGTGGTGCTATCTGTTTTCAGAGGCGATCCGTTACCCTTGAATGCCTTGGGAATAAAACTCAAAACCCATAATAGTACGTAGTTTACCACATCAGTCAACTGGAATGAATGAGTCTACATAACTCACTCAACAACAACACACAAATAAAAACAAGGATTTTAACATAATTGTAGTAGTCAAGATAAATCGAAGTGAACGCTATTATTTAAAAAAAAAACATCTTGTACTCTAAGCATTTTGCTGAAGTTGAAGATTGTCTACATTGCCTAAGAAATTTTTCAAAAGGCCATTCCTAGGTTTAACTATCAATTAAAACATAGTTCTTTTCGGAACAAAATGAGAACTAAAAGCTGCGTAAAAGCCACAAAATTCAAATGGACCTTGAACTGATTTTTATCCGGTTTCGTTGTTCTTCACTACAAAGAAGTGATACCTTAATTTTCTCTAAAAAATTAATGATTATAAAAATTGGAATTTAAAAGCTTGTCTAAAACATTCATTCATAAACAAAATTATAAAATATGCACCAAAATCGACCACTGTAACTTGCCGCAAACTGTGACTGCCTTTTGGGATTCTCGAAGAGTTCATTGCATGTCAAAAACTAAAACCTGTTGAAGGTTAAATGGAAAATGTGTGAATTATATTTATTGTACCAGTTTTGCAAGGCCTTTGTGCCAATTCACAAGATTCTACAAGGTCATAAAAATATTTGTTTATAGGCAAATTAACAATCATAAATCGTTTTAAGAACAACAAAGTAGTTAAATTTGTTTCATGAATATTTATAAAGCACCTAACAGTAATTTTGATGAAAAAGCTAATGAAAGCTTGATAAAATTTAGAATGCTTTATATACATACATACATACTTGTATGTATAGAATTATATAACAAGTTAATATAATATGACCTCTGAAAATTCCATTTGACCAATTTGAGGGACATAAAATTCTAAATATGTCTGCATAGGCAACTATGTGGCAAATTGGAGCACAGATCTTTAACTTACCAGTTGTGGCCGCAGCTATGGATGAGGATATTGGAGTTGATACCGTTGTTGCACTTAAGACTTTCCGAGATTTATTTCCCTCCCGCCGGCTGCTGGCAACAACCGCTGGCGACGATGTTGGTTGTGTTGCAACTTTGCTCTTTTTACCAGACCCCCTATTCGTTTGCTGGCTGGCTACATTTGTAGCATTCGAATTGCGAGCACGATTAATTGCCGACTGCCGTGCACTTTGCGCTTGGGAATTAAAAGAATTGGAACGTTGACTTGCTGCAACCGCAGCGGAGTTACCATCGCGTGAGCTCGAACGCGAATTATTGCCGTCTCGACGCTTTTGCTTGGACGTCGCTGTGGCAATCGGTATTGCGGTCGCAGATGCATTTGCCGATGTGCTGCCACTGCGCTGAGTTTTCTTCACCTGCGGCACGTCATTTTCACCAATTATTTGTGTGGCTGGCGCTGTGGGCGCATCATAGCGACGTGCCACCCTTGATGATGGCGCAATGTCTGCTGCATTATTTAACTGCATATCCGTTTGTAGTATTTCATTTTCTGGCTTGTTATTTCTGATATTGGTGGATTGTTGGCGGTATGTGCCATTAATAGTTGTGATGTTAGCATTTGATTCAGCAACAGGATAATCAACAATTTTTGTACCGAATTTCAACGGTTTATTGGTGGTATGGTTTACTTCCGCATGTGGAGGTTGTTGCTGTTTACGGGGCGTAGTTGTTGGTCGAACTTGCTCTCGCTGTGTCTGTGGCTCTGGCTGTTGTTGTTGCTGTGGCAGCGCGCTTGCATAATCCACAACAACGGTAACAGCAATGACTGCAAAGTAGATGTACAACAGCCGATTAGGCTGCAATATCGGTAGTACTTTCATTTTCCCATTCAACTGTCTGCTTGCCAAATGTTGTTGTTTGTTTGTGTTGTTTTATGGTTTACTTTATGTTTGTCCGCAAGTAAGTCAACAGTGTAGCGAATACTTTTTTCGGTTACTTTTTCACATGTGTACATATGTATATCAGTTTTTGTTTTTGTTTTGATTTTGGCTTTCTTAAACGTATCTGGCCCAAAGACCCAACTAAGGTCACACTGACCTCAACTACAATTAGCAAGTCATTTCAAATCGAATAACTAAACGTGAAAAATTAAGATTGAATAAACCAAATTTAAGTCAAATATCAAACACGTTAACTGACACTTTTGTTACTTCGTCGTCCGCCTTCACCGATTACAATGGCTGTTTATCTATAAACTTAATTCAGATAACTATGTGTATATTTCCATTGTTATACCTTTTTATCACCTGTAAATATGTTTTGTAATGCAGTCATTTCTTGTGTATGTTTATATGAGCGTAGACTGCAATATCTTTCGCTTTAGTAATTCGCTTTTATACAATGATCGGTGCACATGCGCAGAAATCGTTGCTGCGTTGTCGCGGTTCGTTTGCAACTGAAACTATAAACTAAACTTGACTTAACTTCAAACTTTTTGGTCATACCAAAACGCCATAACTTATTCATACATACACATAAAGTTTAGCTCGTGCAGACGAAGTCAACTCTCTGACTACTCGCTCAACTCCTCTGAAACGCCGCCAAATTCGGTCAATTTTACCGGAAAACGGTGGTGTGGAAGAAAGATTATATAAAAAAAAACGTTTATTTAAAAACATGTTTACTTTGTTTATAACGTTGTTTAAAAAAATAACACTGGTCTTTTGTGCAATCGAATATGTTTACATACTGATTGTATATATGTACATACACACACCGCTGTCCATGATTTGATATCGTTATTACACATCTGCAAATATATCCTATATAAAATATGAGATCTAAATGTATAGGAAATCACCTAATTAATTAAAATATCTCCTTAATTTTTCTAGTCCATAAATTTCTTACTTTTTCGTGCGAAAGATCTTTAAGCATAGCATAAATGAATCAAGTGGAGAACCATATAGAAAACGACTAACGTACGATTGATTTCAAACGGTATAATTATAATTTTTTTGGTATATGTTTTATCAAAAAAGGAGACGTCCATTCAATATTACGTGCAATTTCCTGTTGTTGTAGCGAGTATCCTGGAAATACGACTGTTGCGGTTCCTGTTTTGAACTAACGGTTGAACACCTACAAATATGTAACTTTCAAACAAGTTTTTTTTCCTCCTGCTGAATACGAAGATATGCATTCTTCCCAAGCCATTTTTGCAGCTTCATTATTCATTTCGAAAAACTTGAGTAAGTTAAGCCAAATATATATAATATTTCCACTAGTCAGCTAAATTAGATGCAATAATTGAAAATATTATAAATAGTGATCCCTTTCAATACCTAGTAGCAAGACAACTAATAATCCGCGTAGATTACCGATCCTTAATACTAATTTATAGATTTAAGGAAAGCTACACAAACGCATTACATTGAACATCTAATATAAACCGTATCTTATTTAACGATTACACTATGTCGCTGACATTGTCACTAGTGTTGAAATAAAAAATTATATAATTAATTCTTGTTATGTTTTATTTTCATCGGAAAGCTCAAATAAGTGATTTCACTTTCACAGTAAAAAAAACTATTTGTACTCGCGCTCACTTCCTTGAAAAACCATTTAATTTTTTAATTTCATTGCCTCTTATTTGAACTTTCAAATGATGTTGTTGTTGCTGCTGTTGCTGTTGTTGCCCACATATTAATTCATGCAGTTTGTCTTTCCAACAAACTACTTGTATTAATATGTGGAAATATTTCGATGACCCAATACATGTATTGTTGGTGCCATCTAATGAGAATTATCTCAATTTAATCAAGCTGTAAATAGATAAATACAATACATATTATTTATTATTAAATGCATGTGAATGGTGTAAGAACGTACCTTCTTGAAGCCAATATCATTGGCATACTCTCTGAAGCACTGACGGCAGATGTTCAGACCATATTTGCGGATCAAACCATGTCGGTTAGAGCAGGAACGGCTATACAAAAGTAAAACATATTAGGAAACATTTTTAATCAAAGCTATACGTATTTATACGTTCTATTTGTACAAGTGTTTCACTGTAGATTACTGTAACAATTCTACTTTTGCATGAAAGCAAACTTTAAGCAGAAATATCGTTTAGTAACCAAATTTCTTTTGCCACCCTCAATTAAGGAAACCATAAATTATTGATTTTACTAGATTTCCGTACTCAACCGGGGGCATATTTCGCTCTTGCATAAACTCCAGCAAATTCTAAAATTAAAAAGGAAAACGCCACTACCCAAGGCACATTGGCTCTTGCATTTCAACATAACCTCAAATACTTCCATATAATAAAATTCGAGCGACAAGGTGTAATTTTTGCTTTGCTCATAAAATTTTCTTTGAAATTTAATTATTTATAAAATATTTACCAGCATCTTGAGCCTTGGCCGTATTTACGTGGATGAGAATACCAAAGATTTGCGAAACCCATGTTGGCTATTTCACTTGAAGAATCTAAAAGAAGGAAAATATGGCCGTCGAGCTTCGAAATGTTGAAAAAGGTGTGGTGAACTTTTAAATACATTTCGAAAGTGGCTACATACAAGGTTGCCATTTTGTGTTTTTTCTTTCATTTGTCATTTCATTCCGCAAAATTTAATTTCTTAAGTTTGTTAGCATATTTAAAATAAACAATATGCCAGATTTAATTTTAACAAATCTATTTACTCTTTAATTATTAATAAATATGCTTGAAACTGCGCATGACCAGAGTTTGAAAAAAAGTTTTTGGACATATACCAAAAAATGTTTATTAATTATTGTTAATTCCTAAGATATAACTCAAGATGAATGTGCTCTGATATATTTTATATAATTCTACCACTTATATATTAATGAAATATACAAATCTAAGCATACCTTTCAAAGCAGCTGCTAAAAGATCTACGAAGCAACCCTGGTGTAGAGGTATTTGACAGGTAAGCGGCTTTTAAAAAGTAACGCCTTGACAAAACCGAAGAAGAAGATGAAAAAATAAATGCATTCTTAGCGGGCTTTGGAAAAATTAAATTTTAATATTGTGTGAATTTTCAAAAATTTATAGTTTTCGAGCTGTTTTGAAAAATTGTAACTCCAACGTGCTAAAACCTAAAATATAAGAAATTAGCACATCGAACCAAAAACGCATAATGGATATCTCTAGACAAGCATTTAGTGAAGCGAATACTACCGGAGTATCCATGTATTTGTCGTTTGATTCAAGCATTTCTAGTGCAGCTTATAAAACTTTGGAAGCTACTGCATGTGATCTTTCGATGTTGTCAAACATGGACCATGAGGAAGCAAGTGTTGAAAATTCTCAGGAAATTCATCAAAATAGCACGTTGGAGGCATTAGATTCGCATTTGAACTACCTTGAATCAGTCAAGGATATGGACGCGTGTCAGCTCTCTGCTATACCTAAGCGTATTTTGCAAGAATACAATGTTGTCAGTTCGACACCCTCAAAGGAACAGTTACTACGTAGTGTTGAAGTTGTTCGCGGTTCCGGTGCCGAAAGATGTGTGGATCTAAAGTTTGCTTTTATGGACATGGATGACAAAAAAGTTATTAACCCCACAGATAAGGAAAATTCTTTACCTCTAAAGGAGGTAACTGCATTATTAAATAAAAACGACGAAGCCTCACTACGAACAATAATAGAAGAAACGCCAGTTATTGACGAAATAAACACAAGTAAACATAAGGAAGAATCAAATATTGAGGAAAAAACACCAAAGGCAACCAACAGTAAGGTATCAATAATCGACGAATTTCCAAGGGATCCAGAAAAATTAGAAAAAAAAGGTATATAAAAATTAATAATTTTCAAATATAAGTTTCTTGTATATCTTTAATGAAATTACTACAAACCCCTATATACAGTTTCAGATATAAACAAAAGGAAATCAATGGCTAAGAAACCTATATGCGAGCCCGATCTCAAAGCTAATCGTCCATCAAGGATTTCCATCAATCCAAACAATCGTTATTCATTAAACAATTTTGGTACAAAAGCAAATATTGAGAAAGAGATAAGGGAAATACCAAAATTAATGAACAAGGTGTTGAAATTCGCTGAAGCTAAAATCACAGAAAACGATAAAACTAAAACAGCTTCACTGTCGGATGCACGTAAGTCTGTTTCGTATAATTCAAAAGGACGCTCCTCAATGCTACCATCTAGTGTAGCATCGCAGGGTGAGAAACGTCCTTTTGCATTTACTCAACGTATGTCGGTATTGGTAAAGACCACTTTAAACAGTCCCGCACGTAAAATAGCTCGACGATCTGTTTTACCCAACATGCAGCAAAACAGGAAAAGTACCATACCCACAGGACTATCGCACAACAATCGCAAAAGTATGTTGCCAATAGGTACGACAGTACAAACCACCACCAGTGAGCTAAACACAAAATGTACAACGAAGCCACTCTCTGAATCTACTAAGCAAGGACCGCCCAATCGAAGATCCATTTACCCCGTAGTGTCGCGCGTCGATATAACCAAAAGTGCTAACGTTCCACCATTATCCGTGCCGAACACGAAAACGCGACCACCTGCGAACGGGAAACCCGAAATCACTTTCGTTTGCAAAGTTTGTGGTTGTAAATTTAGCCTAAAGTCACTTTTAGATGCACATAAACGTTCTCATGAAGGTGATGGTGTACCAGCTTTTGTTAAGAAAGCAACCACAAACGCGCCGAGCACCACTTCATCAATTACACATTCAAATAATGGAAATAAATGTAGATATTGCGATAAAAAGTTTGTACTACTTCGTGCTTTACACATTCACCTTCTGCAAAATTGTCCAAAAATACCACCAAACGATAAGCGCAAGTTGAAATTTCATGAAATGGACCATGTTGAAAAAGCTCAATTGCCTGCATTTTTCCATGCAAACACTTCTGGTGCTAAAATAAATTCACACACACAAAATACATCTACGAATGTAGCGCCACAGCGTTCTCACTCAGATTTGAGTAGCATTTCTGTAAGTTCTACAGATTCCACAAATGATAAAAGAGGTAAAATAAAAAGATTTTATATACAGGATGAATAAATATTTAATGTTGGTTTCTATTTTTATAGCGCTTGGTGAAATTACCATAATAGCGAACACTGCGGCTGCAGCAGTAGACGGTTTATTGCCGGAGATGGCGCCACCCCCAGCAAGAATGGTAAAAAAAACCACTGCTCATGCTGGGATACATCGTACACCAAATAAAGCAATTATATGTCACATCTGTAAGATGTCATTTAAATGTATCATGGATCATATTCAGCATAATATGACGGTGCACTTTAAAAATACTGAAACTCCAAACAACAACGAAACCGTTCTCCGGAAGATTACCACTAATGCGAATGTATCCGGTACAAAACAAACGGAATAATGCGAATTTTGTTTTCTTTTATCAGACATGCCTTATGCAATTTTTATATATTTATTTTTTATGTTAATTTTTCTGTAGTTAATTTCAGTTCTTTTTTGTTTTTTTACAAACAATTGCTATGTGTTTGACGCCACAGCCAAGGAGTTTTTTCAATTGGAACTTTAGCCTATTCGCTTTTTTGATTTTTTTTGTTTTCATTGGTAATTTAATTAAACGTAATCATATCAACGCAATTAAGATTGCTTCATTTTATGATTTTCATTAATTTATGTGCATAACTTCAAATGTATGAACTAAATTTTAGTATATAATTTCATTATGAAATTATCCTTTGATATGTATTGTAAGGCGTGAAGATTTTTAAATTTATTTAATCTGACTGTAACTCTCAATACATACATATCAATAAATCTACATAAATATCAATAAATACTCAAATCTAATCATTTCTCTAATATTATATAATGAACAATTTATTGCATGACATATGCCCCAAAGGTTTTTGTATTCCAATGCGATAGTTGATTATGAACTTTTTATTTGTCAAGATATCCGCGAAATTTGACACAGATTGTTGCTCTAGGCAACGCTACAATCTCCGTTGAAATTATTTAGATCGTAGATAGGTAGGAGTGCTGCCACCATGGGCTCAATTATTTGACCGAAATTGACCGATCAAATAAAGCTCTTATAAAGAATCTTTTGTATTTGTAAAGTGCAACCAAAGTTAACGTTTTTCCTTGTTTTTTATGAGTTAGAACCGCATTTAACATTATTTTGTTTATTACTTTTTCTGAAAGGTGCAATTGTTGCTTTTGCAATTCAAAACAAAAATAAAACCGCCTTTGCACTCCAAAGTCTGACAATCTAAGCATTAGTCGTTGACAAATGTTATGCAGAGCAATTAAAATTATTAATTGGCTGTGATCTGCCCTTTGTAATAAATTCAGATTTTTTGACCGTTCGGACTTTCAAAATTGCCAAACAAATGACAAAGCCAACGCGGAAATTTTTGTGATAATTTCCCTTCCGGTGGCAAATTGGTGGTCATTGCCAAAAATGCAAATGCACATTTTCTATTCAAATATACACAAGTTTTCACATGTAAACATAAAAATTAAACGTGCCGCAAATTTTGAACACTAAAAATGTTTTCACGAGTCTACAAAAGCGTATACACACGCCTATATGCAACACGTTATACATTCTTAACGCTTTATGTAGCATGCCAGAATCTACGCCAGATGTATCACTACACATCTTTACGTATGTACATATGTGTATAAGCATTAGCACCTCACATCTCGCCGGTGCTCCATTAAGATATGTAAGTGATTTTAGTGCTTTTGTTGCATCATATTGTTTGTTGCAGCAATAGGCAGACGAGAATGAAAATAACCAGACACAACCGTTTCATCAACGTCTAAATTTCTAATCTAAATTGTTGATTGTCTTGTCGTGCTTACACCGACTGCTTCGCCAAACCTAAATATTCTTGTACTTTTTGTTTTTGTCGTGCATGCCTATACATATGTATGTGTTTGTAGGTTACATTATAAATAATATCGGCAATGGCTGGTGGTTTATGTCGCCACGAACTTGAACTTGATGGATGAAATTCGTATGCTATTTTCAGGTCATCTTACACTTTTGTAGCAGAAAAAGTATAATTTTGGCTGTATATGATATGTAAGGGGCTCACAAAATGTCTCACTTGTAGTATTTTGTGTATTGATAAATGACACAAGTATCAGGATAGTGTGTGTGCGTAGGTAATTATTTCCGGGGTTTTGGTTAAATTGATACTGGATATTAATACTTTAATTTAATTCTTTTTTTTAGGTTTAATTTGGTTTTTTGCTTACCAATCAATGCGATAAAAGAGATACCATAAAAATATGTATTTAAATTCTATTATATTCATTATTATCAATTATCATCAACTCGTGTTTTATAAACTCATTGTGTTGTTGTCTAAATACTTATGTATTATATTACTAAAGCTACAAAGCATGTTAACAATTACATTCTTAAACAATACTTACTAAAGAATGTACTGTATATATAAACTACAAACATACATACACTATGTTTAAGTATTGTTGGAAGATTTTAACGTGTGATATTATGCGGCAGGTTCGCTCTCAATATACTTATTAATGGCTTTGATACGTTTACAACACATCTGCGCTTAATTAATTACCAAAAAAACAAAAATATTAAATTTAATGAAATTAAAAAAAAGATATGTCTCTTTAAAAATTATAAAAAAGGTAACAATAAATATAGCGAGTGCCAGAAGGAATAATGCTAGCATTGCTAAATCTTATTTGTTAGCATATCATAGCAATTGAACTGAAACTTTAATAAAAAGTAATACAATCAAAAAGCAATATTATGAAATCAATATCAGTATAAATATGTATTTTAATGGAATTATTTGTAGTATATCAAAGCGTTTAGCTGCTGATTAGCGAAAAATTCGAAGAGATAGCTGATAGTTCACCGAATTGGCGCAACATTCACTTCAATATCTTATTTTTATCAACTAAATATTTCTATATTACAGTCCGTAGTTCATTTCCATTAATCATAACAAATTTAATTTGTTAATATCGACAAAGGCTTGTGCGTTTCTTCGATATAGCATAATTTCTAAGTATATGTATATTAATATCTTTTTAACTTTTTAAAAGCTGTAAAGCGTGTAAACCTTGCCTCCTCTTGAAGTGATCTCCATTCTCTTCGTAATTTCGCCAATATCCCAATCATTAGGTTTCGCAATTCCTTTTGTTTGACGCAAAAATACTGGCATTGATATCTATAAGACTTTCTTCATGTATTTCTTTTTGGCATTCTCCAAACTAGGCAGTTCGCAGTGACGCGGCCCATACATCGATATGGGCGCACAGTACTCATAACCGATACGTTCATAGAAACCATCTTGATCGATGGTTGATAAGTAAATGGCTTTTAAATCCAATACGATGCGACAATAGTCTTCCGCAAATTTCATAATTAATTTGCCAAAACCTTGTCCACGACAACTTTTGTCCACCACCACCGACTCAATAAAGCAGGCCATCTTTTTGGACGGTATCTGGCTTAACTTACAATGAGCTATAACACGATTCATCCCGTCCGTAGTTAAAACTAAGCTGCAGGGAAGTGTATCACAGGAAGCTTCAAGCGATCGCATGCGAGCCGTCTCACTACGCGGCCATTCAGAGTTAATCAGCTCGCATGTCTTCTTCATTAGCTCGGGGTAGTTGTGTATTGGAACAACACTGAAGGGGCTACCCGACACATTAAATGGTGGAAGACCCTGAAAGCAATTAAATTTGTTTAATATCGAACCTATAAATATATATATGTAAGTACTAAAATAAATAAATAATAAAAAAAAAGCTATAAAATAAATATGGTGTAAAGGATACCTCATAGTATGGTTCCGACTTAATGAAGCGCATAGTCTGATAGTGGCGTAAGTGGAGAGGCTATTAAATAATATGATAATTTCCACCACTGTAGAAGGTAGTAAAGCGTTGCTAAAATTCTAAGCATACAATATGAATATTTTTGTAATCAGATAATATATGATACGGATATAAATAACATGATTACGAAAAAAATCAATGAATTTATATTTGTTCAGAACATTTGAACAGTAAAATTCCATACACAGAACAGAATGAATATTTGTCAATAACCGCTATACAAGGAATAGTATTTACATTTTTTAAGAAACACTCGCTTAGCAAATATTTCTTATAAGAAAAACACCTAACAGAAACTATGCATGAAAATAACAAATTTGAAATTACATATTGAAGGTTTAGTAATACATACAAATCTTTCAGTTTGCCAGTTGCCAAAATAAATATTTTAAACAATGAACTATGCTATTCGTATGTAATATTTACTCAAAATTCCAAAAATAAAACCATTTCATACAAAATATATATATGACATTTTTTACATATATTTTCTGCGTGCACATTAGTATTATTTATATATATATAAGCAATCTGTTGGAGAGCAAGACGGTTGTCCGTGAATTTCAAGGTTCTATCCAATCGCCTTGAATAAAGATCAAGTAAACAAGTTAAAGGCGCTTAAAAGCAAAACCCGGTATATTACATAATATTATTTTCCAATTCCAAAAATGTTATAATAAAATAAACCCACACATTTAACTTCCATGTTGAGATAACATAGCGATGTCATACTAAGTTAGTGGCAAAATAGGTGGAGACGCTACAGTCAACTGGCAATGAGTCAACAAAATCTGAAGCCATTTTTATTAACATTTTGAGTTTGCGACACTTTAAACTTGACACATAATTTATGATAACCATACACAACAATAATTAACTTTATATGACCAACACAAAAGCGTTTTATAAATTGATTTTTACCATAATGTGATTTCTTCGTTGTTGCTCTTCTCTAGAAACGCCACGACGGACTGTTAAGAACGAACTGATTGAACTGCCCAAATTGGTACTGCCTCAATGCCTATGTTATTAATTAGTGAATAGCAAACTATTGCTTTATATTATTTTCCTTTCTTTTTCTTAATGTTGTCACTGGTTGCACTAGTGGTTTTTAATTAATATTTTAGATATATCGCACAATTTATGTATTGTATAATAATATATTATCTTTAAAATTCGATGATATGTTAGCTAATTCAATGCTTTTTGGTGATATTCAATTATGTTGGCATTTAACAAATCAGCATAAAGTTTTTGCTGAAAAAATTTTTTTCAGCTGGCGCCAAATTATGAAATTAATAATAAAAAACAAAATTTTATAAATAGATTTTTGCAAAAGGAAGGCAAAGTAATATAAAGAGGAATAACGAGAGTTAAGTGTCAAAAATGTTTTTCTTATTTTCTTTTCAGTTGCTGATTCGTCAAATTAAACGAATTTGGAGCATAAACCAAAAGTGAAAAAGTGCTGTACAGTGAAGCATTATTAAAGATTCCATTTTCATCACAGTGGCTTTAAAACATTATTATTTCATATATTTACATTAAGGTGGCTTTCGTGAAATCGCATAATGCTGCTTTGTACAAGTTATTTATATGAGAGCGTAAATTAATATGCAAACAATAATGTTGAGAAAAAAATTTTGAATTTTTTTTAACGTTCTTCAAAAAAAATCCATCGCTCATTGGGTGCATATCTCGCTGAACTCAACACTAACCAGTATAGCCGAGTGTCAAACATTTCTTTATTCAACAAAGGCATAAAAGTAAAATTGTTACAATTTATTTTATAAGTACTACTGAAAAAATAATCTCATGTACACAGTGTAACCGTCCAAAAAAATATTTTTACTAAATCCTTGCTCATGACTTTTAGCTGCATTAACATAAAGTACTTATTTAATATACTTTCTTATTTTAGTACACTTTTTTGTTTACAAAGCAACCCAGGTCACAGATGTTTTCAGGTATATATTCCACTCGCGCATTTGTTAATGACAATTTTCGATTTGTTAATTTCTGTATTAGAGCGTATTTTGTTTATAAATAAAAAAAAAGTACAACAGAACGCTTATCACAATAAACAAGAGAGACATACAACAATGCCAAAAGTGAAAGTATATCGGAGTGACTTACCTGAATTTGTGTCGCGTGTCTGTTGATAAATTTATTTGCTATAACGCCCTCACGTTTTGTGCCAGCGTTCACTGACCGACTGCGATAGATTTATTACACAACAAACAATAAATAAAACTGTATTAAAAATAAGTCAACTTAAACTAAAAATAAAACATAAACAATTCGCATCTGTGCAAATAGAGAGAAAAGGAAGTGGCACTTGTCGTTCAAGTTCACCACTTTGACCCTGAAGCGGTGCAATTCGCTTCTCAGGAAGAAGAGATAATAAAAGCAAAGACATAACCGGCGAAAAAACAGAAACAATTTTGGAAATTGCTACATAAAATTATAAGATTTAAAAATGCTACCAGGTCGACAGGTGCCCCAGCCCATTGCACAAGAGAATCAATTATGGGTATCATGGCACGATACACAAATGATGGCGTCACTAAGTCCAGCCACTGTTATGGATTACTTTTGTCGTAAATCGAATCCCTTTTATGACAGGGTTTGCAATAATGAAACAATTCGTATGCAACGGTTGAGCCTTGAACACCTTAAGTAAACATTTTATAATGTAAATTCATTTAAAATTTATTATGATTTCTTATAGCAATATGGTTGGTGTAGAGTATATACTACTTCATGTTGCCGAACCTATATTGTATGTTATACGAAAGCAACATCGACACAGTCCAACGGAGGCGACACCTATTGCAGATTACTACATTATAGGTGGTATGGTTTATAAAGCACCTGATCTTGCAAGCGTAATTAATTCAAGAATCGTAAGAACTAATATATTTAAAATTGAATAATTAATATTACCGTAAATCTTAGTTAGCTACGGTTACAAATTTGCAATCAGCTTTCGAAGAAGCCAGTAGCTATTCTCGTTACCATCCGAACAAAGGATACACATGGGATTTTGTGGCTAATAAAGCACGTTAGTAAATGCATTATTATTTTCACAAAAAATTGTAAATATATCACATTGTGTGTATTTTACAGTTTCAGATAAATCAAAGAGCAATAAAAAGGACCCTTCATCAAACAAAGACGACAGCGGTACAATATTTCAAAAGCAAAGGGTTGACATGCTTTTGGCAGAGTTGTTGCGCAAATTTCCACCTCCAATACCACCTATAATACATCAACAACAAATGCAAAACCAACAGCAGTTACAACAAAATCAGTTACAGAACACCGCATCGGAAGTAAATCCAACTGAGGCAAATAATGTTGCCGGCAATCCAACTACCTCTAATAATGGTGCTGTTGCGTCGGAGGCAAGTCCTTCTCCTAACACGGTACAAGGTGGCATTGAGCCAAAGGTCGAGGGTATCGATATGAAACCTCCGCCAGAAAAGAAAATAAAAATGTAAAACATAATTACCTACAATTGTTTTTTTTTTTTTTTTTTATCCATATAGCATATCAAATTAGGCACGAGCTTTAAAGTTGAATGTAATTTATTTAATTCCATATAGCTGCGCTTTACCATAAATCCAAAATAATTTAAATATACAACCGTAAATGTATACGTATGTGCATACATATATGTATGTTAATTGCTTTTGTGCAGTTTGAGTAATAATGAATAATTAAACAGATACGTTATTATATCGGCTAACAGATAGAGCCTTTGTTCGTATAATTTTACTGCGCTATTTTCTTTGCTACTCCACAAACTTTGCAAATGTGTTCATCTTGTTCCAATGAATCAACAACAAATTTTGCTAAATCATATTTAGAAATAGCTCGACCAGGTGCGTCGTCATGCAGCACTGTATAATTAGTGGAAGGCTCATCGGATATATGTGGGGGCAATATAGCCACATAGTCTAAACCGGACTCCTTTGTCAAATCCAGCATACGTTTGTGCTCCTCGTTTAATTTATGAAATACTCCAGGAACTTCAGTGAGTGGACGGAATAAAAATGACGACATAACAATGGAGAAACGGCGAATATCTTTTTCTTTCATGGCTGTAATCAAATTCTTCGTTCCACTAGATAAATCGGTGGTAGCCTCCAACTTATTACGTGTTCCTAAAATTATGCAAACGCCGTCAACACCATCAATTACATTTTTACAGTCTTCTAAATTTAAGGCATCGCCTTTAACTAATTCTACTTTGTCCTTAAAACGTTCCGGAAGAGTTTTTTCATTGCGATATAAAAGGCGGACGTTTAATCCTAAAAATGAAGGTAAAGTTTCAATTCTGTAAACAAACTTGCACAGAAAGTTTATTTACCCTTTTTCAACGCGTAATCCACTACACATTCACCGGTCATGCCGGTGCCACCAATGACAGCTATGCGTTGCATAATGCACGTGTTATTTCACAGGAACACTTCCAAACGCAATGAACTAAGAAAGTATTACAATATATAAGTTTACCTTTACAGCTTTCTACGATAGTAATTCTGCACTCCACAAAGATAAGATTGCTGTAGTACTTATCTTTATTATATACTGAATAGTTAACGATTGTTTAAGAGGTACACTGTTCAGACTGAAAAGACATTCACAAATACTAAACAGATTTCTTGCACACAGCAATAAAGCATCAAAATGAATCAACAAGGTTAATTAAGTAAAAATGTCAGGTTTCGTTTATACTATAGTACTTCAGCGCTGAGACCTAACGCGGTTCTACTTCAGTATACATATATAGAAGGCAGCAAATTTCAGTGTAATGTTCAATCATTTAACACGTAAAGCTCATTTATTTATTTCGCTACCCTACCTCGGCTTAAAAACACATTTGCCACCCAATTAGTTTTGTCAGTAATATAAACAAATAAAACTACTTCAAGTATCCCAATTGGAAAATGGTCATATGTGCATCGATGAAGTACATGTATTGCTAAATATATAGTTATTAATTAAATAAATGCTTACATATGACGTCAAATGACTATTAATTTTAGTTTAAAGGCACAACAATTTTATCGGAATAATGCATCCACTAATTCCAAATGCTATCTTCTTGCGAAATGCACAGCTTATTCCTACTTGGTAAGTATTTCTATTTTCTTTTGTGTCATCCGTGATAATGGCATGTTTACACAATATCTAGCTACACTAAGGGATAAAGGGAGTTTAAATATTTTTAAATGTAATTGGGTGAACTATTTTGAAAATAAATAATAAATATGAAAACATTACTTTCTTTTCAACATAAAAAAGCCTAATTGTTTGAGATAATTTGAATATACTGTGAGCAATAAATTTTTTATTTTTGGTACAATAATTTAAAATAAATCTATTAGTAATTTATACATTTACACAACTACAATTAATTTTATTATGGTTGTAGTAGCGGCAGGAAACATCTGTAAAGATAATAAGAAATAATTTTGAAGAATGCTGCAGAGTTAACAGTTTTTAGAGGGATAAAAATCCGATCCTTTACGGATACGTAGACCTGACTGTCGTGAGATAGGTAACAATTAAATGTGCGATTTATTTTTTGGTATCTATATCTAAGACTATTTAAAGTTTTAACAATTGAAAATATTTAATTACGTACTTATATGCACAAAAAATTCTTTTCATTCTCATTCATATGAATTATTAACACTATTATATGTTTTTTCACTCAAAACAAACTTTATCGAATAACATACAAACAGTAGGCTGGCTAAATTTGTCAAGACGCCATATTTTTTTTTTGGAAAAAAAAACAATATATGTATCTGGATCAGCGTATAGCCGATAAAATATTGAATAGATCTTAGAGAGTTGCATTTAGAAGAAAATTAAACATGATGAATACAAGTGAAGAGGAATTCACAAATTCCGATGCCTGGTTGTCGGAACAACTTTTCGCACAATTAAAAGAATTTAATTCTGATTACAGAGAAAAATCCGTTATAGATTCATCGGCAACTTTTGTATTTCCTTCCGGAAGTCTTAGTTGCATATCAGAGGATGAACCACAAGATTTAACAAAATCAAGATTGGAAAATTATGAATCGGTTTTCAAATTGCCAACAACAACAAACATACCTCCCTTCGATATAAATGATGTACTCGATTTAAGCAATATTACTGGTAGAGGCACAGAACCAGCTTTCTTGGATTTGGTGGGAACAGTGCCATTAACACCATTTGCCGCACCAATCCCCGACACAACAGTAATGGTTAATGAAACAATAAAACAAACAACAACAGAGTCATTTGATGCAACAGAAGAAGAATTAAAACTTCTGAAATTTCTGGAGACGCAACCACAAAGTAGTCCACTTGGTATGTGTGTACACATAGTATAAACTAATAATATAGATCTACATACAGTATGATATTATCAAAACTCCTCAATTTCAGATACTAAATTATATATTCCACCCGATGTTCCCTCATCGGCTTATCGAATTGTGAAATGTTCTAATTGCAACTGCCTCTTTGACATCATATCTTTTCAATCTCATATTTGTGATTACGATGAACACCATAATCTAATCATTCCCCCCGCTGCATCTACACCTATTAATAAACCTATCAAAGAAGAACCACTATTGCCACCGGAACCGGCATGCATTCGGTTATTGCGCGAAAATCAGATACGCATTCGGCGCTTCTTGAAAGATGAACTCAAATATGACGTTAATGCATCAATAAATAACAATACAGGCAATTCCAGTGGTACTTTAGGTAATACATCAAACACATCGACAGGCTCGAATTCATCGAATACTGCTACCAAAAAGCAGGATGGGCCTCATGAGTGTACACTATGCGAGCGTAAGTTCGTGCATGCATCAGGTCTTTTGCGGCATATGGAGAAACATGCAATGGATCTAATACCAACACCAGGCGCTTCTTCGGGGGGTAAAACGACTACATCACAAAGTAGCTCCTTACAGAGTGTTAATGGACTGCGAGTTGTCATTAAGTGTACTTTATGTGGAAGAGTATTCTTTGAGCCATTTGCTGCCTTTAAACATTTATGTTCTCACTTTCCCGGAAGTATGCAGGAAGAAAAAGAATTCGATAATTGCGCAGAAATTCCGTATGAATCCTATGTAGACGACGCTATGAGTTTTTTGAAGATGGAGGTAATTTATTTATATAAAATGGAGTATAGATAATGATTAACAAATTAAATAACTTTTTTATACAGACCAATAACTGTGCGGGGCCACTAACAGTTCATGGAGATAAATCACCTGTTTACCTCAAAATGGTCATTTTAAGTTGCATTTTGCAGTGTGAATTTTGTGATTTTGTTTTCTCAGAAGTATCTTATTTATTTGTACATTCTGCTTGCCATTTGCCTGAACGACGTTTCGAGTGCTTCTCATGTGATATTCATATGCGCACGTCTAAAGAAATATGTGCGCATTGGCAAGCTGAGTGTGTATTTATGCGAGAGAATCTTAAGGTGCATCAAGCTTCTACACAGCGTTACTTTGTGTGTAATGTTTGTGAGAATAAGTTTCAATCTCTTGATCAGTTGCATGAGCATAGGTAAATACTAAATCTAATACATTGCAATTCATTGAAAAAAATTATCTTTTCTTTTTTTAACAGATATACAGCTTATCATTTCTTTCCTCGTTTGAATAAATGCCTGGGTGTTCTACAGCTACCTTGTGAATATTGTGATGTAGTATTTGAGTTTGCGCAAGAATGTGTGGCCCATTATGAAGAAAAGCATTATAAGAAGTATAAACGCGATAAAGATGGAACTGGTTCATCCAGCAAAACCCGCCAATACTTATGTGACATGTGTGGGAAATCGTATACCCAATCCAGCCACTTATGGCAACATTTGCGCTTTCATCAAGGTAAGCGTATTATAAAATATCTATGAATGTACCGTGACCTTAAAAAAATATTACACTCAACTCTTACAGGGGTAAAACCCTTTGCTTGCAAGGAGCCCGGTTGTACACGTAAATTTACCATTCGTCCCGACTTGAATGATCACATACGCAAGTGTCATACTGGTGAACGTCCTTATCATTGTTTGGTGTGCGGCAAACGTTTCTTAACTGGCTCGGTTTTCTACCAGCATCGTCTTATACATCGCGGCGAGCGACGTTATGAATGTGAAGAGTGTGGTAAACGTTTTTATCGTGCAGATGCGCTTAAAAATCACCAACGCATCCATACTGGTGAAAAACCATTTGGTTGTCTGTTTTGTACAAAGAATTTTCGTCAACGCGGCGATCGTGACAAGCATATAAGAGCTAGGCATTCGCACTTGGATGCGAACGCTCGTTTAATGATGCAAATGCAAAAATTACAGTTGGAAGCAGCGGCAGCTGCGGCTGCAGCTCAGGTAGTCGTTCAACAGCAGCATGTCAATAATGCTGGCATTATGAGTGGCATACCCACTGTAACACCAACTCTTATGAGTATGCCATCTGTAAACAATGATGTAATTGATGGTCTAGAACCGTCATTAGATCCGAATGAAGTTGTGATGATCGGAAATGTAGCCTTTCCAAAAAGTATGTTTGAATCCATAATTCCAGACATTGATGAAGAGTCTGCACTTAGAGCCATGGAGCAGTTGCAATAGAAATGCAGATAAATTCTGTGATAAATACACTTTTAGATGTAATAATATGCTTAATAATATTTAATGATGTTGCAAGATCTCCCATTGCAGTTATCAATTGTTTCTTTGTATGACACTAATTTATTGTAGTAATTGAATGAACCATATTGTGCTTTTATGTTTAAATGTTGTAAATGAATTGTGATTACACCTTGAATTTAATTTGTGTTATAGATTAGGTAGGTTATGCATGTAATGAATTAAAAATAAATAAAAATTAAAATTTTTACTTTTGTGTGTCATTAATCATTAATAAAAATAAAATTTTTTGAACAAAGATTTGATTAAGTAGAATTTTTCAGTATGCTTTACTGTAAAGCTGATATTGTTATCAAAAGTGTTATACATTTTTTAGCAACTCGGGAACTCTAGCATTAGTTGAATCAGCTGTTTTCATTTCATTGTAAACTTCCGAGTCACCGCGCTCATTCTTTTATTATTCAATTGAGCATTTGTGGAAGTGAATGAATAATTTTAAAACGAGGATATAAAAGTAAAGTTAAATCGCCAAGCATTTTTACGAATTATTACAAAGGTAATATGCTTTTATAAACTGTAAAAAATAATATAATTACACATATGCATATTATTTAGAGCAAATTACTAGTGTATGACATATTTTTTCGCTCTTTTAATTTTACAACATTAAAAAAAGACAGATTTTAGCTTCATAATTGTGTTAAATATTTTAGCTTCATAATTGTATTAAATTTCTGAAAGAATTAATACTTTTATATGTGAGTACATATCTGTATAGACGTCGATTTAATAATTAGCCGGTAATGTGTATCGCGTGGCACTTATAGAACTCAGAAATGCAACTCACAACATGTATTTGCTACACATTCATATGCATGTGTATATAATATATGTATGTATATATTTATAATTTAAGCCCTTATAATATCGAAATTATGAACTATATTATTCCATGACAATAAGCTGAAATATTTATACAAATTTTGACATATGCATTATTATTGTGATTTGTTGATGGAAAATAACCCATTGATATGTTTTAACAAAGTGCATATAAATACCTGAAGAGAAAATAATGTACCTCACCTCTGCTTTGTATATAATTTTAAGATAAATATAGGTTTTATTTCAGTAAGCGACGCTGATAACAGAAGATAAATAAATTCTGCTGTACTACATTACTACGTACACTTTCATTGTTGTTATAACACGACTATAAAAACGTAATTGTTTCAAAGATGTTTTAAAATAATTTTTTTATTTCGAATTCCAACTAAGTTCAAATATGTAACTTAACTAACTGTACTGACAGATTTTGGCATACATTTGTGAATCGCATTCAATTCATATCGAACAAATATCGTTAAATCTAATTCTTATCATGTTTTCACAATTGCTAACATAAACTTTTTCGCTAATTTCAGTATATGCTCTCTTCAAAATTT